AGAGCCATGCGAGATGCTTGGAAGGAGATCCTTCAGGACAGTAGATGACTGTAGCATCATGGGAGGCCCTGGAACCAGAGCCATCCAGCTAAGCCATTCCCTGATTTTTGACCCACAGAAACTTTCAGATAATAAAATGTTAGTTTTAAGCTACTAAGTTTTGGGGCAATTTGTTACACAGCTGAAGTAACTAATGCTCTGTCTTGACCTCTCTTGACCTTCAGTGTATGTGACACTGTTGAGTGCTCTGCTCCACACAGTGCTGTCCTCTCTGACTTCCTTGAGAGTTTTCCTTCCTGAGTTTTCTTTTGGCCTCTGCCCAGGTCTTGTCAGTTTTTTCATTAGCTATTTGCCCATCAAACACCAATACTTCCCCTGGCCTCATCCTTAGGCTTAGTCCATCTTTATCCCTATCTCATCTCTCATTGACTTACTCACACCCAGGGTTTAGTTGTAATGAAAATTTTCAGGTTGATACCTGCTACCCAGATCTTTCTCTGAAGCTTTGTAATTGCCTTTTGGGCAACTTCATTTACATGAGGCTCCTGGCTGCTCATACTTAGTTCATTAGCAGTGGAATCATCACTTTACTCTCACACCTGTCCTTCTTCCTGCGAAGTTTTTCACAGTGAGTGGAACCTTTGTCCTCTAGTTGCTCAGTGAGAAATGTTTCCAGCTGCCTCGGATATCCCTCCTGACCTGCTGCTTTCAGGACGTTCGGCATGTGGCTCCAGCCAGGATCTGTAGTCCAGTTTCTCCACTCTTCCTATAGGTCATTCCAGATTTATTTCATTACTTGTGGTTTCCAGGGAATTCAAGCACCCCTATGGCTTTGCATATGCCTTTTTCTACAATGCCGTCTTTAATTTTGCTTTCAAATTTTACTGCTATGGTTCCTCAGTCTGGCTATGTCCATGGTTCTCCATATTCACTCCTTAGAACTGTCTTTATAGCCCTTGAACATGTCTTTCCTAGTCTCCATCCTTTGTTGGAGGACAATTCTCCCTGGTGTTTCTACATGTTTCATGACAGCTCTTGTCTCAGACTATCTTCCCAAAGATGTTTGCACAGCAAATAGCCTTGAAAGAAAGGTAGTGGCTCCATCTGGGACACAGCAGTTTATTTCCTGAGCAGCATAATAACGTCTCCTTCTGGGGCAAAGGTTGGACAGATTTGTTAGTAGCCCTCGTAAGACGGGGGTTTGGCTGTCTGTGTGACATACACCTATAATCCAAGCACTTGGGAGGCCCTGGCAGGACAATCACAAATTTGAGGCCAGTCTAGGCTATCTAGTGGGTTTTTTTTTTTTTTTGTCACAATCAAGCAAACAAAAAAACCTAGATGGGGGTTTTCCTAAGCTCAGCGTTCCTCAGCTTTGACACAAATGCATGGTGTTAGGATTTGGATATGAGGTGTCTTACCCGAAAGGTTTGAAGGCTTAGTTCCAAATGCAGCAGCGTTCACAGGTGGGGTTTGGGAAGTGATTAGAGAGATATGAGAGCTCAGAGCTTATCAGTGGAGTAATCTCCCTGATGGATTCATAATATGATGGCATTATTGGGGGTGAAGGCTTCTTGTAGGAAGTGGGTAGATGGGGATGTGCCTTTGAAGGGCATATTTTGGCTCTGGCCTCTTCCTGTTACTCTCTCTGCTTCCTGGCAGCCACAAGGTAAGCAGCTTTGCCCCGCCACACCATTTCACCAGGCTATTCTGCCTCACCACATCCCAGAAACAATGGAGCCAGTGGACCATGGACTGAAACTTCTGAAACTGTAAGCCAAAAATAAATCTTTCCTTCATTAAATTGTTTCTGTCACAGTAATGAAAAACTAACACAGTGTGCACAGTATCGACCTCAGCCACTGTGCATTACAACTATAGGATGTAGAGAATAAGGGAAACCAATGCAAACAGAAGCTTATGTTATTTGCTGTGCACAAGTAATGAAGTCTTTTGTCTTTGACCCATGAATCTCTGTCCTGTCGGAATCCAAGAACCTCTGCAACTAAGCCAAACTAACTTGTTAGGTTGCAAGTTGGGTAAAATCCTGGACCTTTCACAGTTCTAGAGACCTCTGCACACACTTGTCTCTAAATGCCTGGAGACTAGGGACTCTATTTCAATGGACTTTGTGTCACCTGTGTCACCCACAGGTGACACAAAGTTGCTCAAGTTGCACAAAAAATGTTGCTGCAGGGCATGGGATGTAGCAGCTAGCATGCAAATTTAGCATGTGTGAGGCCCTAGGTTGGATCCCCAGCACCCCCAAAACGACCCCCCCCAAAAAAACCCCAAAAACCCAAAACGCAGCTGCTACTAAGGCAGCTTTGCTCTACAGGACTCCGATGTATTGACTGAATCCAATTCAAAATGAAGATCTCAAAGCAAAATTTATCTCTGAACTTCTGTCCTCCTGTTGCCAGGCTCCCCCATCCAAGGCAAACCATAGAAATTAGAATTTCTCTTCTCCAAGGCAGGTCACAGAAACTAGGATCCCTTTTTAAAAGCTTAAAAATATTACTCAAATTTTCTCTTGCTTTTCTGTCTCAGAGCTGTCCTGATGCTGGTGCACCCACTCAATTGGTACTGGTGGTTCATGCCTGCAATCCTAGCTACTCAGGAGGCAGAGATCTGGAGGAACACAATTTGAAGCCAGCCTTGGGCAAACAGTTTGAAAGACCCTATCTCAAAAAACGAAAAACAAAAACAAACCCATCACACACACAAAAAAAGGGCTGTTGGAGTGGCTCAAAGGATAAGAGCGCCTCCTAGCAGGCATGAGGTCCTGAGTTCAAACCCCAGTGCCGCCCCCCCACCAAAAAAAAATTCTCTGACCTACCTTGACTGATAGTAGGTGATAAGACTTTTATTGAGGAGGAAAGAATGCTGCACAGAGAGATCAAGAAGCATCTGAACAGACGGGTCTTGCCTATTACCATAAGTCACACCACCCTTTCCATCCAATCATATTTCTACATGACTGTCCAGGCTTCATTGAAACTAGGCATAAAAATGGACAATTCATCCTGGATCTCTGGGGGTCTTCAACCCAATGGCTCCTGTGTCACATTAAAACCATGATCAAATAAATTTGTTATGGTTTTCTATTGTTAACCTGTCTTTTGTATAGAGGTGTTGGCCATGAGTCTTTGAGACAGGCAGGAAAACGTTCACTTCCTTTTCCACCCCTATAGCTCATCTTCTTCTTTTTTTTTTTTGGTGGGACTGGGGTTTGAGCTCAGGGTGTTGTGCTTGCAAATCAGGCACTCTACTGCTTGAGCCACACTGCCAATCCATTTTTTGCTCTGGTTACTTTGGAGATGGCTGATCTTACAAACTATTTGTCCAGGCTGGTCTGGAACCTTGATCCTCCAGATCTCGGCTTCCTAAGTAGCTAGAATTACAGGTTTGAGCTACTGGCACCCAGCCCACCCCTGTAGTTCTTTATTGAGCCACAGATCTTTTATTGTCTATTAGGTATTGTTTGCATTCTTTGGGTTGGCAGAGGGTAAAGCCTCAGACCTGTGCCACAGAAACTGAAGTTCTCTGGAAGTTAAAAAGCGCAAGACAGATAATTTACAATGTGTGTGAGTCGTGCTGCAAGAAACTGGAGGTGATTAACTTAGCAGAGGCTTTAGTTTTTCTGGCAGGTAGTGGTGTGGGGCAACTGAGATGTCAGGCTCCGCCCTCAGCCTTGCAATAGCATCAAACAGCTAAAGCAGATTAGCTCTGCTGGAGTCAAGTTGATTGCCCGAATGAAAAATCGAATTAGACCTTCTGGAGCCTGATCTCTTAGGAATGAAGACTTCCCTTTTAATGCTTTACAACTAGAGTAAACCCAGCTGCGACCAGGCAAGACTGCAAGCTGAGCTTGCACTGGGGAGGGAAATCTATCAGGCCAATGCTTTAATTTGGCTTTTAGACTGTGGAAATCCATCTAGTTAGCCTTTTCCTAGTTTAGGACAGCAGAACCTTGACAGCATTCGAGGAGGCTCTCAGAGATGAAAGGGGGCGAAGATGTTCTGCACATAGACCTGTGGCTGTGCAGCTGAATGACTAGTAAAGATCACTTCTTTTCATTCAACCTTGTCATTTTATAGATGAAGAAACAGGTACTTGGGCTAAATGGCTAAGCGAGGTGATAGAATGGAAGTCTTTATTGACCCCATTTCTCTCAGACTGCTCATTTTCTTCTTCTTCTCTTGGCTTCCCCACTCCTCCTGCACACCCAGAGAACTGGGTGCAGTGTTATAATGCCTGGTCAGCATGGTTCCTACTTTTTCTCCAAGTCTCACCCAGTGGAGGCTACGGTTCTGCGTGTGTGTAAAGCAGTCCCAGCCCGAGTGCAGAGGAAGCCCCAGAAGAGCAACCCTGAGGCAGAGGGTGGGGACGGGCAGGGCAGTCTGGGACGTGCATAAGTATGTTCAGGGAGGGGAAACTCTGGGCGGACCCTCAGGTGCACAGTCCAGTCCCCTGTGACAATGACACCACGGTAGGAAGGGCGCGAGGACTGCAGGTTCCTCGCTGGACCTGGAGAGTCTGACGGTCTTTCAGAAGTGCACGCTGCACTAGTTTAGGAAAGAGGCGATGAGGCCTTGCTAGCTCCTTCCAGGAGCTCCCTGGTCCGCAGTCTCCAGCAGGGAACCCGCCCACCAGCGCCAAGAGGGCGTTGGAGGGATGTACGTGACCCCGCGGGGCGCGTCCGATGCCCCGCCCCGCCCGTGACGCGCACAGAGCCTCCGCCCCATCCCCCCCGCCCGCGCGGGCGCCGCGGCGCAGCCTCCGCCATTCCACGCCCCTTCACCTCTGGGGCTGTCCAGATTCCTGCCTGAACCGAGGCCCGACGGCTTCTGCTCCCCCGGTCACGGCCGACGGACCGAGGCAGCCCATCCCGGGAGCAGAGGTGCTGTCGGTCCACGTGGCTGCAAAGGAGCAGGTTGGAGTGGGCGGCGGGTAGCTCTGCGGGGACAGGCGCAGCGGACAGCCCGGAGGGCAGCGGCGGGGTCCTGGCTGGGGGAGGACAGGGTTGCGGCGGGCGGAACGGTGTCTCCTTCACTTCGCCCTCCAGCCGCGGCAGCTGCAGCCCGACCCTGAGCGAGCCAAGAGGCGGCGGCGGCGGCGCACTCAGGAGACCACCAGGTACCTCTGTGGCCACCTCACGCCACCTCCCCGGGGCCTACGCCGCGGCGGCAAGGCAGGAGGCCGGAGCCGGACTTGGGCTTGGCCCTGGCTCTCTAAGATGGCCGCGCTCCCCTGCGGCCCCTCACCCTGCTCCGTCCGAGACCCCCCGCGACCCGCCTCTGACCCCCGTTGACCGCACTTCTTGTCCCTTCTACAGATCACCTCTTCCCGCGGCCTCGCCATGGCGACCTACGGACAGAGCTGCGCGCGGCGTAAGTAGAGCGGGGACCTCTGCGGGATGGGGCGGCGGTGTCCAGGGGTCGGAACCAGTCGGCCAGAAAACCGCAACTTCTCCTCCCCCTCCCCCCATTCCTCTAAGAATTTGGAAGTCACTCTTGGTGGCCACTCGGAGGTCTGGTCACCGTCTCTGCGGAGGAGGGGCTGGGCCGCGTGGTTTGGGGAGGGTCGGGGGGAGGGCGTTGGTGCACGGGCCGCATTCACCTTCACCTTTTGGATGTGGCTTTGACGAATTCGAAAGCAAGAAGTTATTAAGCGCTGGATTCCGCCTTTGGGGAATCAGATCGGTTACTTTCTAGAGGAAGTAGTTATCTGCCCTGGGAGAGCGCAAGGTCATTACATGTGCTGCTAAGGGCGTGGACGTGCTTTGTAGAATGAATGAGCTGGTGGGACAGCTCGGATTGCGTGTCCTTAAGCCTCGCTGCATGGCCCAGGACTTGGGAGTCCTATTAATACGTTTAAAGTGCCATTTGATATTTAGTTGATGTAGATACTTGAGCGGAAACATAGAGGGCTGTATTTGTTTTCCTACGTCCCAATATTTAAGTTCCCAGAGCGTTGCGTTCCCTTCTGTGAGTGCGGGTTTTGATCTCGCGGAGGGTGCCAAGGGGTATGTCAGAGGAAAGGGCCTCGTCTTAAGTTTTGATTTTTGTCGCATTCAGTGGTGGGTTTCGTTAGATGTGTGTACACACTTTGTACCAGTTTGGTTCTATGAAGTGAGGTTGTAGAGGTGTGGACACTGTAAAATTTAGCTGTGCAAGTCTGATTATTTATCTTGGAATGATTTTCTCAAGTTTGTGTAACAGCCTGGCTGTTCATGTTTTTGAAATAAGACTTTTAGGAATGTCTCTTCCATGTGTTGTCATAGTTTTATTGTAGCCCCTGGTGGCATCAAAAACATAATTGCAGCAAATTGGACTACTTGAACTTAAACGGTCAGTGGTGTCTTATAGTGTAGTGGACAGATGGTGGGAGAACAGGAACATTAACACTGGAATGTTTCTTCTTACCAGCAATGTGTATCCCTCCATCATATGCTGACCTTGGCAAAGCTGCCAGAGATGTTTTCAACAAAGGATTTGGTAAGAACTTTTCCATTAATTTTAGAACAGAAGCGAAAATACGTGGTTGGATCTCTTAGAAAAATTAATCATTTCTTTAAACTGTAAATAACTTGCGGCATTGATTCTTCTCTTAGATACATTTTAGGTTAAACTTCTATGGAAATAAGTGTTACAGTCCACCCCAGTTTCCCACAGATTTTTCAAGCCATAGTTCATGGATTTTAATCTTTAAGAAAAAGCAGCTTGTGCTCTCTTTATCTTTAATTATAGCTTAGGCCTGGCTGACTGAAGTTGTGATGTATTACTGTTTCACCTTTGTGTTTGTTACTCTTGATACCTTTAAAGAGTTATTGGCTTTTTAAAGTGAATTTGAGTTTTTGTCTTGAAGATTTTGTTCCATACACTCTCTCCTCCCTTCATGGAGATACATGCCTCTTTGGGATAAATGCCCTAAATGTCTGTGTTATGATAAACTGTTGGCCACTCAAAGATTTAAATCAAATTGATTTTCTAATCTAATGGTTAAATTTAGATTAACCATTAGATTAATCTTGAAAGCATTTTTTTTGGGGGTGGTCAGAGACAGCTATATAGCAACACATTAGGCAGAGCAGCATAGAGATATTCTGTCCTTTATCAAGTCAGTCTTAAATAGACTGCTTTTTAAAATTTGGTATATGCTTGCAATCCCAGCTATGCCAGTGAGGCAGAGGTAAAAGATCTAGGCCCAGGGAAAAACTATAAAATTCCTACCTGTAAAACAAGCTAAAGCAAAAAGGCCTGGGGCATGGCTCAAGTGATAGAGCACTTGCTTAGCATGCAAGTGCAAGATCCTGAGTTCAAACCCAGTACTGCCAAAGAAATAAAATACATAGTGTATCAGTACATTTTTATTCCCTTGTGGATATGTGGAAAATGTATTGTCAGTGACAGGTATGTGTCTTTTATACAGAAGAATCATTTTGTTACCTTTTACTCTTTTTTTAAAGGCTTTGGGTTGGTGAAATTGGATGTGAAAACAAAGTCATGCAGTGGTGTGGTGAGTGTTGGATATCCAATAAGTTTATAATTTTTAACCCATAAAAAATTCATAATTGAATGATGTCTACCTGTTTTACCTTAAAGAAGAGGCAAAGGGTTGGGGGTAATCCTCAAGTGGTAGAGCAAGTGCAAGGCCCTGGGTTCATACCCCAGCCCCACCAAAAAAAGGGCAGATATTATTTTGTTTTAAGTGAGTTGCATGTAACCTGATTTATTTTGGTTTTGTATATAATTTCTTTTCATGTGGTCTTTTTGCCATATTACGGTGTATATGTGCATTACTGCATATGCACAAAGAATTTGGGAAAGATACTGGTCATTTCCTCATGTAGATTGCAAGCTTAAAGGCACCCTGTTAGATTCTTGTAACCCATTTTCTTAAATGATTGTCACAGTTCTGGGCATGAAAGTATTCAGTAACTTATTTAGTATAGTAACCATTTATATGGTGGCCATATTCTAGCCACTTATGGAGACTTACACATTTTGTGAGTTTATGGAGTCCCAATTTGAAGATCTTCAAAGGGTTTAATATCTTGATATGTGGGTGTCAGTCCTCCCACAAACTCCTACAGAAGGGATAAAGTAAAATTTAAGTTTGTGTAATTTTTTCTTGCTCTAAAATTGTTTATTTATTCATATGTGCATACATTGTTTGTGCCATTTTTCCCTAAAATTTGTTTTGAGATTATTTTTGGAGTGGGTGTATTGTGTACATTAGAATATTACTGGTTGTTTTGATAAATTCTTGGTGTGGTGCATATAACTAGCATCTGTTAAAGTTAATCCTATTGTAGTTCCAGTGCCCAGACTTGTTGAGTTTCTGGGGTTTTATGTCTGTAATTTGATTTCTTTGGTCTGCAAGGAAGCCTGACATTTTAGTTATAGTTGAGTGAGTTACTTGATCAAGTTAACAGCTTACAGATCAGTTGAGGTGGGTTTCTTTTTTGTGTTGTCAGGGATTGAACCCAAGACCTTACACTTTTTTCATTGATCTACTTTCCCAGCCTGTGTTTTCCTATGTGTGTGTGTTTCTCATTTTAAAATCTGTTGAGACCCCTACAAATGGTTGTGCATTTGTTGAAATACTAAAGGCCTTCTAAAAAATGGAAGACTTGATCCTTGTGTTTTTCAAACGTTTTCTTTCAGCTAGAGAGACAAACTTTAAATTGGGAATAATCAGGGAATTTTATCTAGTACTAGATTGAAAAAATCAAAAATCTTTATCAGAAAGGAAAGGCTTGTGTGGATAGGGCTTGGAAAAGTTATGTGAAAGTAGGTTTAAGATCATGAGGATATATAGGAACTAAATTAGAGTCCCTGTCATATCCTCATATTCCTCCTCTCCCCCACCCCCCACCTTGATGCTGGGGATCTAACCCAGATTTTTGTACATGCTAGGCAGATGCTCCACCACTAAGCTATACTCCCAGCCCTTAGAGAATGTTTTGTTTATAGTTTATATATATAAAATGGTAGTTACACTATAATATGTTCCTAGCTCTAATTAAGTCCCATTAAGGAACTTAACCTGAATTGTACAGATGTTCAAGTTGCCCTAAAATGTAGAAGTCAAAATGTGTAGTGATGGAGTGAATAGCTCCACTTGGCATCATCTGTGCTCCCCCCCCCCCCCCCAACCAGGGTGATTAATGTTGCTCTTTGCCTTGAAGATTTCTTCCCATGTACATAGGTTGGCTCTTGATCTGTGGGCTGATAGATGGCAGTAGGTGGGGCCTTGTACTTAGTCATTATCACTGAGGATTAAAAATGACTATTGTACACATTTCCCATTTAAACTATATGCTAGAAGAACATGCTTTATATATACTGTTTCAATAGTGATATCCTTTTGTGTAGAAAGTATGGAAGTATGCAAAAGCCTTCACGGTGTCAGGTTCAATTTACTCTTCCACAGGTAGACTTTGTTATTAGGAAACATCCCCCAAAATTAAGTATGTTATTTCCTAACATAACCTGGTTTAGTGGTTTTTAGTATGGGATTGAGTGCCAAGCTATGTTGAAATTCCTGTTAATAAATATTTCTAGTTTCAGGAGAAACTAGATTTGGGTCTGTTTAACTGTAGACCTATAGTCACAAAAATGTTCTGTTTTCTAAGTGAAGGATAACTGGTTTCTGTCCTTGATACAGGCTTTGATATTTTCTCACTTTGCAGGTGTGACAATTTCTGGTCACAGTTTTTTTTTTTTTTTTTTTTCTTTTAATTGTTTCAGATCAGCCATCTTTAGACTTGGCTTTCCAGTGGCCAGAGTATAGAGCCACCATTGGTAGAAAAATTGTGAATCAGAATCCTCAGAGGGCATTTTAAAATAATGGTTTTTTTTTTGGGCAGTACTGGGGTTTGAATTCAGGGCTGCATGCTTGCTAGGCAGGTGCTCTACCACTTGAGCTATTCCACCAGCCCTAAAATACTGTTTTTTCTTAGAAGATTACAACTGCTTGCTTATGTATTGAACTCTATAAGATTATTAGATACTTAGATTATCCGTAGCAAAATCTAAATTTCAGATAAGCCTTTCATAGTATTCATTTTGTTTTCATTTGGTGTACAGTTAGGGATTGGCAAATTATTTCTCCTTGCTACAAATGTAAGATTGTATACTGCACTTCAACTTGATCCCTTCATTAGATTATTTTTCTATTGATACCTATGATACAAAATGTAGTTTATATTAAGTGCTATATAAACCAGCTATAGAGTAATTCTGTAAGTCCCTCCAATTTTTTTTTTTTAAAATGAAAATGTGTTGGAAAGGCATGTAACTAGGTGAAGACTCTCAGAAAAGCTGGATGTTGGAATTATCAAAGTTGTTTTTTAAAAACTCTCGTTCATGGCGTGGATTGCTATTGTGGGATGCTTTTCTCCTCATTGTTTTTTGTTTGTTTGCTTTTTGTGGTGCTGGTAATAGAGCTGAAGGCCTTGTACATGTTTAGCAAGTGCTCTACTACTGAACTACATCATTAGCTCCTCTCCATTGAGTTTTGCATTGTAAACAATATTGCCTTAGCAGAAGTTGTCTTAAAAAGGTGACAGTTTGTTGTCCACTTGAAACTTAGCTACAGGTTAATTTGTGATTGATTTTTGGAAATGTCAGCTGTAAATAAGATGTCAGTTAATTAAAGGTGAATTTGTCACTATTAATACTGAAGGAGTGGCACAGTGTGAAGAGTGTAGTGTAGGTGAGGCAGTGCATTCTTCTAGGCTTATGAGAAGGTTCATGAAGTTATTTATTGTCTTTTTAGGAATTCTCAACATCTGGTTCATCTAATACAGACACTGGTAAAGTTACCGGGACCTTGGAGACCAAATACAAATGGTGTGAGTATGGTCTGACTTTCACAGAAAAATGGAACACTGATAATACTCTGGGAACAGAAATTGCAATTGAAGACCAGGTAACATTTCAAAAATGCTGTAGTATTTTTAGTTTTGTGTTTCAAAAAGGAAATAAAACTGAACATAAATTACTTTTTTCTTCCAAAATAGATTTGTCAAGGTTTGAAACTTACATTTGATACTACCTTCTCACCAAATACAGGGTAAGGCTGGATATTTTAACCTGCATTAAGTTTAAAAACATTTCTTGTCTCCTTAGGAAAGATGCACATTTATTATTTGACTGTTTACTAAACTGCCTTTTAGTGGCTAATCTGTTTCTGCTTTTGGAAGGCTATGGTTGCTATCATATGGTTTTCTTTCAAATATTTGCCTCTTTATTGTGGCACTAACTTGGGTAATTAACTTGTTTCTAAGAGGCTTTTGTGAATAATTGCCAGTTTATAAAGCAGTCTTCCTATGATGGCAGTCCAGTTAACCCTGTGCCCTTGTCCATAGTTCATTTACTATTTTTTAACCTATGATTTTGTTTTTAACCTATGGTGTTTCCTTTACTCCAGTCATACTGTGCACTATGTGCAGAAATTATATGTATCAATTTTTTTTTTTTTTTGCTGGCATCATTTTTAAGTCAGTTTGTTCTTCTTCCAGAAAGAAAAGTGGTAAAATCAAGTCCTCTTACAAGAGGGAGTGTATAAACCTTGGTTGTGATGTTGACTTTGATTTTGCTGGGCCTGCAATCCATGGTTCAGCTGTCTTTGGTTATGAGGGCTGGCTTGCTGGGTACCAGATGACCTTTGACAGTGCCAAATCAAACTGACAAGAAATAACTTCGCAGTGGGCTACAGGACTGGAGACTTCCAGCTACATACTAATGTGTAAGTATTTCTTTTGTAAATTATTGTGATAGAGGCCCTTAGAGGATGGTATTTGATGTCATCTCTTGTCACCTGTTAGCACTCCTGTTGCAACCTAAAGGTTTTCTTTCAGCATTTGAAACAAAAACAAAAGGTGTACCTCAGAAGTATATAATGAAAATGTTAGTTTGATTTTGAGTGATGAGAGAGAAAATGTTGTTCATATTTGGCTTGATAAGCTCTGTGTCTTTAGAACTAGAGGTATTAGACATTGGTAGACTGCTGCCAGTGCATTCTTCTGACTTACTAGCTGTGATGTGTGTGGTGCCAACTTGATAGGATTGTCTAAAATGTGTGGGGCTTTTACCTAACCCAAATTATATAATAGAGAGGACTTAGATTTTTTTTTCCCTTTGAGTAGTCTTTATGTTAATGTTTTAGTGTATCACTGAGCCACACCCTCAGGTTGTGTTGTGTCTGTCTGCATGCCTGGGATGTTTTAAAACCCTTTTAAATTTTGATGATTTTCTCATCGTATTATGTGTTTTACAGCATGATTGTGTGGGAATTTTACTGGATGAATGTACTGTGAATTATTTTATCAATCCTTGTGTTTGAGATATAGGTTAGAAAAAAGACCTTTTAAGACTTTGAAGTTTTCAATAGACAGGAGAGACCAACATGAGCAATGGCTTTCTATTGGTTCTGGGGATTGCATCCAGGGCCTGGTGCATTCTAGGCAAATGTTCTACCATTGAGCTACCTCCCCAACTCTAGCAGTGGCCCATTTAAATGTAATGTTACAATATTAGCCTCTGCCTTAGAGATGATTACATTGTTTATTGCAGACTTACTAATTTAAAATATTTTATAGCAATGATGGAACAGAATTTGGAGGATCAATTTATCAGAAAGTATGTGAAGATCTTGATACTTCAGTAAATCTTGCTTGGACATCAGGTACCAACTGTACTCGTTTTGGCATTGCAGCTAAATATCAGTTGGATCCCACTGCTTCCATTTCTGTGAGTACTTCTGTAGCTTTAGAATGGGGTTTTTTGGTTGTGGGAATTAATCTTTGGGTATATTGAGTCATGTTGAAATTTTAAAGTGTGATTTAAACATCCCCAGTTTGCAGATCAATTGGGATTAGAATTTGGAATGCTGCTTTTCCCATGGAGACAGTATTAGAGGTTTCTTTCCAGGCCAGGCCACAGAAATTCATTTAACCTCAAAAGTTGTTGAATTAGTATTGATAATAATCCTGAGCTCCGAGCCTGTCTTACTCCTGGGGGTAGCCAGTGTTTCGGGCTCTGGGCAGTTCTTACTTGTGTTAGGGAATAATAGTACTTGAAACGTTCTTTGTTTCTTATGGTTTATGAAGTAACTTCAGATTTGATCACTGGTCATTGGTACACATGCCATTTTTACAGGTGAAGAAACTGAAGCTTGGCAAGGGAAAGTACTTAACAATACTGCTGTAGAGTGGGCAGGGGAAGGGAGTCAGGAGTGGACCCCATGTCTTGATTTCAGTACGTTTGGGGTAAGCAGAATATCCTGTGTTGCCTGGGTCAGTCCCTGTAAAAAGCTCAGCAGTCTGAGGAATCCCACCCACTCTTCAAAGGGGAAAACAGGATGGTTGGCCACTCTAGTCCTGTCCTTCAGTTTTTTTTTGCTGTTTATCCCTTCACAGTGAGTTGAATTAGGAGAAAGTACAGTGTGAGGGTACTGAGGGGCTGGCTTCCTTTCAGCAGCTGTTCCTGTGAGTTAATTGCTTACAGGTCAGAGACTGCCTGTACTGTATGTACTGGAAATGAAAGAAAGTTAAACCATCCATGAGTTATTTCTGTTACATAAAGTACTCTTTATGCCTGAGGACAGTATGTTTTGGTAATTTAGGCAGTCAAAGGTTTTTCTTTTTTTTTTTTTTGGCTTTGAAGTAAGTTATATAAGCTGGTTCTACCATAAATTTCTCACCATTCCAAACAGGGCCTCCTACATTTGCCAAACACATTGAAAGTTTATGCCTCACTCTGTTTACAGTAGGAAGGCATTGCTGCATACTGGGTTCTATAGTCTAGGCAGTGAAGTTTTATTCCCATTCTTGTTTTACTTTAGCACAGTTATAATCAGATAGAACGGCAACATCCAGAAAACTTTTCCCATTGGCAAAGTCCAACACACTATTCTGTGATAAGTTGCTGTTCTCTTCAAATGTATGTCTGTGGCACCATCACAGAATTTATTTATTTATTTATTTTTGGTGGGGTTGTGGTTTGCACTCAGGGCTTCATTGCAAAGCAGGTGCTCTACCACCTGAGCCACACCTCCAGTACATTTTGCTCTGGTTATTTTTGGTGATGGGGTCTCTAGAACTATTTGCCCAGGCTGATGTAGAACCTTGATCCTCTGATCTCAGCTTCCCAAATAGCTAGGATCATAGTTATGAGCCACCAGAGCCCAGCTACCATCACAGATTGAAGGCCAGCTGTCAGAAGTGCCTTTCAGCCACTAGGCTAAAATGGGAAGGAAGCTTGGCATTCATGTCTCATTGAGTGACTACTGAGAATTAGTTTGGAAAGTTAACTAGCATTTCCCACCTAGATAGAGCTGCTGTTGCTAGTTGGATGGTTATTAAATATTGATAAATAGTAAAAACTTGTATGTGACATTTGAGACTTTTAATATGTTGGGCCAACGATGGTCATTAGTGAGGGTATTTCTTCCTTAGACAAATAACTCACATGGTCATTGGAGGCTTACGAAGATTTGGCTATAATATTAAGTGACCGCACATGTTGTATGACTTTTGCCTGTACAGTTAAATCATTTCTTTCTCTGGACTATGTGTTTCCATGTTATGTGTTAACAGTATAGTTACCACATCCGTTCCAAATATGTTTTCCTCACAGACTGTATGTTACCTTCATACCATAGTTTTCAGATCTGGAGGACACGGTTGCCTGGCTAGGCTGCCTACGCCCTGAGATGAGCGCAAGGTGTTCCCATTTAGAGTCTCTAGTATAGCCTCATGATGTCAGAGGTGGGGAATAGAGCTAGAAGGAGCTTCTGTTTTAACATATTTTGCCCTCCATATTTTGGGTTCCTCCCAGCCCTTGAAAGGTCTGTGACTAAATCCTCAAATGTGAGTGTTAGTATTATGTAAGGATGGCAGAATTTTGATTGATAGGCCATGTTCCTTTGGAGCCTCTTGGAGGTACAGACTAGTTCCCCAAAGCTAGACCCAGTGACTTAGAGATATGAGGAAGTACTTGTCATTTAAAGATTTTAGGAAGAGCTCTAAAAGTAGTAATATATTTTTCTAAATCATGAATGGAACTTAACACCCTGTATTCAAAGCTGGTGTGTACTACCTGTAGTGAGCCTGGGAGGCTTCACCAGCCACATTTTGACCTGCTTTTATGCTTAGACTAGACTCAGTAAGGATGGGGTTTTTTTTTTTTTTTAAAGGTAGATTTTATTTTATTATTTTAATTTATTGGTACTGGGGTTTGAACTCAGGGCCTTCTGCTTGCTAGGCAGATGCACTACCACTTGAGCCATTCCACCAATCCTCAGTAAGGATGATTTTTTTTTTTTTTTTTTTTTTTTTTAATGAGAGCAGTTTGGTTTTTGTGTTGTATGGGCATTTTGTGTGTGGGGGGCGGTCTGTGGACACATCTTAATTGTGTCAAGGGTATTGTTGGGTTCTACTTAAAATTTGATTTTGAGTTGATGGATAATTTTTATTTAGTTGATGGGACTGGGTTTTGAACTCAGGGCTTTGTGCTTACAAAACAGGTGCTCTACCACTTGAGCCACATCTCCAGTACATTTTATTGCTCTGGTTAATTTGGAGATGGTAGGGTCTCATAAACTATTTACCCAGGATGGCCTTGAACTACAGTTCTCCAGTCAGCCTCCCAGGTAGCTAGGATTACAGGTGTGAACTACTGGCACTGGCTTGTTAATGTATAAGTTTTAAGTGGCACTTTTTTTTTTTTTTTTGGCTTAGTATACAATATTAAATTTTATTACATGTGAATTAAAAAGTTGCACTCTTCATAATGCATGATAGCAAAACGTGCAGGAGTTTTGTCTCTCCATTCAAAAATTCTTAACAGTTGTTCATTTTGTTTTAGGCAAAAGTTAATAACTCTAGTTTAATTGGAGTGGGCTACACTCAGACTCTGAGGCCTGGTAAGTATTCTTGATAAAGTAGGATTGTTTTGACATTATTTTAAGAATTAATTTTTATTTCTTAGCTTCAATTACATATGTCTCATGCATATAGAAGAATTGATTATTCCTTTTTTTTTTAAATTGGAAGTTGCAGCTTATCATTCCCCCCATGCTTCTTTTCAGAATGAGAACATTCTTCTGCATCACCACAATACTATTGTCAACACCTAAGAAAGTTAGCACTGACTCATTATTTACACCCATTCCCCATTCAGTTTCCTTACTTGTGTCTGAAAAGTTCACCCATTGATTTCATTGGTTCTATCTCTGAAGTCTTATTTTACATAATGTTTTTTGCTCCTTGCTATGTGTTCTAGACCAGCACTTCTCAAATGTCATTGTGGGCTTGAGTGACCTAGGGAGTCTTGTTCATATGGAAATTGATCCAGTAGGGCAGGATGGGGACTTCTACATTTCTGATGAGCTCAGTTCACAGCTTCATAAACTATTTGACTTACAAGGTTCTAAAGTACTGGGAGATTTTTTTTCCCCTCCTAATAGGGATCCCCTCCTTCCCCAATTTTATTTTAACTATTTTGGAACCTAGAAAGAATGATACAGTGAACACCCAACCTGTCCAGTTACTGACAGTACCATTCTCTCTGGTACACGAAACTCCCTTCTTACATACCTTAAAAGTGTGTGCTTTATAGCCATAGCATGCGTATCCTAGGAGTAAGGCATTTTCCTCTGTCACAATTGTCACAGCTAAGAGAATCAGCATTAATTTTCTTAATATGTAATCGGTATTCAGATTTCCCCACTTGTCCCCAAATGTCTCTTTATGGTTTTTTTTTCCTTTGTAGAGTCTAATCATTATTAAATCTTTCTGAGTACCTTTTAATATGGATAGTGTTTTAAGAACACTTTGAATGTGTTTCTTATTACTAACCTTTTTATGCTCTGACATCTTACTTTTACCCAGCCTGGTGCCTTATTAGTCTCTCAGTACTTCCACGTGCCCTCTGGTGGCTGGCACTGGTATGTCAAGTGACAGGCTGAGCAAGTGATAGTGAAGACTCAGACTGGGAGTGAAGTGTTTCCAGGGTCATCATGATGGTTTGCTTTGTTACAGGTGTGAAGCTTACACTGTCTGCTCTGGTAGATGGGAAGAGCATTAATGCTGGAGGCCACAAACTTGGGCTTGCCCTGGAATTGGAGGCTTAATCCAGCCGAAAGAAACCTCTGGAAATGGATATCAGAAGATTTGGCCTTAATATATTTCCATTGTGACCAGCAGGCTTTTTTTCTCCCCTAAGAAGGTGATCAAAACAAAGGATAATCTAAACAAGAGCTGTATTTTAAATATTTAGACAGTTACTTGTTAGCTGGTTTCTAGTTGAATTGGTTATCTAGTTACCAATGCTGCGGTCGTGCAGTCACCCATACATTATTTAAATGTATTTAACTGTTAAATGCGCTACCCACCAATAATGAAATAGACCTTTATGAAAACTGTGCGATGTGTGCATGTTTGTTTTTATGCTCCAAAACATTGACTATTGCCATTAAGTGAGATAGATCAGTGGATGTTTTAAGGTGAGGCTGAAGATTTTTTGTTAAATTTAACCATCATTAGAATTACTTTGGTATTCCAGAACATTACAAATTATGAATAAAACAAGTGTACATAATTAATGACTCCAAGTATTTGCAGAGTTAAAAATTTGCCAGCTAGGGTCAAATCTCCCCGGTATCTAGTTAATACTTGATTTTTTTTTGGTGAGCATTTTGCTCTTTACTTAAATCTGTGCCACAAAGTTCCTTGTGTCCCTAGAATAACGTGATTACAATAAAAACAAGAGGACATCTAAAGTTTCCAAGTTGTTGCAAAGTTACATTGAATCCTGGTTAACTCTAGAGGTAATTGGAGAGTAAGTGGCAGAGGGAAATGTGTGAATGGTGCTGAAAGTTTGTGCACAAAGGGCATACCTCAGCCATGGCTGTAGATGATGAACTAGGCTCTAGATCAGTGGATGGAGTAAAGTGTAGACAGTGTCTGAAACTGAAAGAGCTGCGAGGGAAATATTCGGGCCCTAGCCTGATGTCATTACTCATTTTCTTCCAGCAGATACATGAAAATGCTGGACCAAGGTATGAGACCAGGGGCAACCTCCCTGACCTTTACCTGGACTTCCTATGGGTGTGAATGATTGATGGGTGATTCTGCTTGAAACACTGGAAAAGAGCAAATTTTCTGGTGGGAGGAGGCAATTTGAAGGATAAAATGAAAGGTTAGAGAAAGGGGGGGGAGATTTGTTTAGCACATCTGGAATATGAGACCTGAAGTTGAGTTTGAAGCTTGAGAAACAGGTAAGAAAATGGTATACCCTTAGGTATATGCTAAAATCCTGTAGGTTGAGATGAATCTGATGAGGTGGAGTTCAAGCAAGCTCTCCACACTGACTTGAGAGGGACACAGAAACCCCTTCTGGTCTCATTAGGTTTGTTTTAATGGATTGGCTGGGGTGGCCCACATGAATCAGATTGATTCTTCAAAAGGCTTTCCCCAGACATATGTCTCAATGGCAACAGGTTGGAATTTTGAGTCAGGACCTTATTCAGGTGGGAAGGTAATAGGAAAAGGTAAATGTCCAAGCTAGGCATGAAAGCATGTCAGTTCAACATAGACCCACAGATAACTGATCAGACTACTCCTGGTGCCCAGCAGGAAGTCTGGTTACAAGACTGGCTGGCCCTGAAGCCCTCTGGATGGCCTGCTGCTCTTCAGTTAACCAGTGTGCTTCATGCTGCAGTTGGAGCTCACCTGGCTCAGTAGTGTAGACTGAAGTGCCCAAGTAAGTTACAGTTTGTCAAGGATTTCCTTAAATAAGATTGGATCTAGTCACCCATGTGTACCCCAGTATGCTTCTAGGAGTTAGGGAGAAAGAGCAGTGTTTACCAGGGTCTTGAGGGTGTGCAGAATGCAAGGTAAACTATGAGTGGTGGGATTGGGTTCTCGCAGCTCCTGTGGCTATGGTTCCAACAGTTTCCGGGTGCACTTCTACCACCCTGGCCTTAGTGTTGTGTTCCATACAGCTACTCCTGCCTGTGGCCTTGAAGTAGTGTTAGTGAGGTAACATTGTGTGGGATTGGGGAGATTTGAAGGAGAAGCAAAATACCTGGCTTGAAGGTGCTGGGTAAAGCCTGGCTCTAGTACCCACTAAAGGGTGGTACAGGAAAGCCTGAAGTTCTTTGTCTTCCTCAAGGAAATGTGTTAAAGATTAACGGTTTTACCTTGGACAGCGGCAGTCCCCTCACCTTCCTTCAGGACTTCAGGGGGAGAGCTGGGAGATTTCAAGTCAACCTTGAGGTATTCAGGTCTAGACCAAGAGGCCACTGACCAGGGCTTCTACGGCAGAGGTGAGGCTGGATAAGCTGGCAGTTCTGTGAGAACGTGACAGACTGCCAGCACAACTGGCATAACCTACAAAAATTCTTGGTATTTGGTCCTCTCTTCCACTGTCAGATCCCAGGAGTGGTCTTCTCACCAGTCCCAGGAACTTCACCTGCCTGGGACAGAGATGTAGGAGGGAGACCAAGAGAGTTCAACCTTGTATCTAACCATCAGCCCCTGCCAGGTGGAAGCAAGCCTGAGGAGCTAGGTACACTGCCAGATAAATTAAAAAGACATCCTACCTGGCCATAGAGCTACAACACTGGTGCAAGGAGGGCGTGACCAGCTGTGATCTGAAGGCCTCCTTTAAGCGGAAAAACTGCCTGCACCGGGTCCCCACCCTCACACCCCCGTTCGATGGCCAGTTAGGGAGACTCAGAAAGTCATGTGTCCCAGCCCACTTTATTGTTAGGACTTCTGGATCAATGCCTGGGGATTCCTAGGTTCCTTCTGTGAAGTCCACTCCCTGGGAGCCAGTCCTAGATCTTGAAGGCCAGGGTGAGGCCGTCGCCCAAGGGCAGGAGGCTAATGTACACCCTGGTGTCCTTCCGGATGCGCTCGTTTAGGTTTCGCACGCATTCCGCTGCTGCATTCCCTTGCTGAGCCTGCAGCACCTCTCCACGCCACAGGACCTGTGGAGGGGCGGGGCATCACGAGGGGTGGGGACGACAGCCGCGGAGGCGGGGCCCGGGGGAGGTGCTCGAGTAGGGGGCGGGGCGAGAGCTGGAGACCCAGGACCCCAGCGGAGGCGCCTGAAAGTGTTGGACGGGGCTTTGGGACGAAGGGAAGGGCCCATCCCGAGAGGGTGCTGACTTCCAGCCGGGTGGAGCCCTTACTCTGAGCACGGCGAGCACGCCTCCAGCGCGAAGCAGCTGCAGACACCGCTCGTAGTAGGCAGCGCAGTTCTCCTTGTCCGCGTCCACCACCGCCACGTCGAAGGTGCCGGCCTCGCCCGCCGCCAGGAGCTCGTCTTACGGGGGAAAGAGGGGCGGGTGCAGCTGAGTCTGCAGTCCTGGTGGCAGGAAGCCCCTGACCAGGCCGGCCCAGGCGCTGTGACACATGGCATCGGGCTGGGATGCCAGGCCTGTCACCCATGAGTGGCCGCCTACCATGAGGCCAGGCGGTTGGGGGGCGCTGTCAGTGCCTCCGGGTAGACCTGGCCACCAACTTCCGTCAGTGGTCCCGTTTGGGAAAAAGAGCAAGGACCTTCCTGCTCCGGTGCTCACCCAGGGTCTCCAGAGCGGGCTTCAGCCGAAGGTCGATCTTGTGCTCCACCTCGGCCTGCGGAAGGAGCGAGCGAGGTCAGAGGCGGCATGCCTGCCCCCTCGCCCGGAGCCCCCGCGGCCTCAGTGTGTGGGACCCTCACCTGCCTCCACAGGGGCCGCCCCACCTCGGGGAGCCCCGCATCCACCTCGCAGGTCACCACGCGCCCGGTCGGGGGCAGCGCCAGGGCCAGCGCCACGGCGGAGTAGCCGGTGAAAGTTCCTGGGGACGGGGACATGGATAGGCTCAGACCAGGGTGGAGGACACCCTAGAGACCCGGGCCCCAGAGATCCGGACCGCGCGCCCGTACCCAGGTCCAGTGCCTTCTTAGCCTTGATAAGCCGCGCCAGGTTGGCCAGAAGCTGGGCTTGCTCACAGGTCATCATGGAATCCCCTTCCGGCTGCTCCAGGGTCAGCTGTGTGTGGGGACAGGGTGACACCAATTCTGCCAGTCACCCATCCTCTCCACAGGTTCCGTACCTCCCTCCCTCGCCATAAGTTCCGTACCCCCTTACCCCCCCAGAGGTGCGGCCGTGGGCGTTGCCTAGAGGGGGACAGTCCCTCTGGGAACATCCATTAACACCGGACTGCGGAACCCGGAAGCTCAGAGAGGGCCACCTTCCAGCCCAAGGTCACACAGCCACGTGGGACCCACCAAGCCGGTCAGGATGCCCGTTCCTGGCCCCAACCCTACTGACCAGCCTCAGGCTGCGCAGCGCGGGGTGCTCCCGCATGGACCTGCTCAACAGATACTGCCACAGGGGATTGTCCTCAGGGGGCAGTAGGCGCTGATGTCGCCGGAACCGTCTCCCTGCCGGGGAGAGGGTGTTGGGTAGGACCTGGGGCTCAGAGGCGCCAAGGGTTAGCCTGAGCCACGCCACCTGCGCGGAGCCGCGGCCACCTGCGCGGGCTCGCAGGCTCTGACCCGCGCCCTCCCGCCCGCCCGGGGCGGCTGCGGCAGCACGGCCATGCTCACCCAGAAAGAGGCCGGTGGCGAACGCGGCGCCCAGCGCAGCCGAACCCAGGGCCAGCGCGGCGGGAACAGAGAGCCGGGGCACCGGCTGCGTCATGGCGCGGGTAGCAGGCGGCGGCGGGTCACGAGCACTGGAGCCGCTGGGACCCGATTTCTCTCGCCGGCCGGCTGGGCTCCACCTTGTCCCGGCCCGGCGGGCAAGGCTGAGAGCACCATCTGGTGACCACATCGTCTTACTGCAAGCTCCGCCCGAGGGAGCCCCGCGCCATCTGGTGGCCGAGTTCGGAACTGCGCCGAGGAGAGGCTCAGACCCTGCAGCTAGTGTCTGAATTCTCCTGCCCTGAGTCCGCGGTCTAGACGCCTGGCTCCCAGGACGCAAATCTAATTCCACTGCTCTCATCTCCCCCGATAGACTTATTTCCCTTGCCACCACTTCTGCTGAGGTCCCTAGGGCATATGTGGTTGTGTATGTGTGTAGGATGTCGGTTTAACGTAGCCAGTACAAGTGATACAAATTCACGAACCCTAGAGAGAATCAAGGTGAGGTGCCCAAGGGTAAAGGAGTTAAGGACTTGGTTTGGACACACAGCGGTGGGGTTTTAGGAGCCCTGGGTCTGGCCTAGCTGATGGGGTTCTGAGACAATAGCGGCTGAAATCTTACCCTTGGGTGGCAATCATCACTGTGTGATCTTGAGGCTGTGAGTCTCCCTGAGCCTCAGCCTGGCAACAGCAGGAGCTCAGTAATGGCAGCTACTATGATCGTTGGTTGGACTGAAGACATCTTGGGTGGTTAGTGACAGGCCAGCGGAAGAGGCACCTTTGCAGGGTTGTTCTGCCAGGACGCTAAGCAGTTGACCATTGATTGAATGCCTACTGTATGCGGAGCTCTGGCACAGGCAAAAGACCCTGTAGTGGTTTCCAGACAACAGGGCAGGCAGAACTGGTAGCTTCACGATTCCCTTTTCTGTACAATGAAGTTATTAAGCGTTCCCACCACCTACCAGGTTCAATGAGAAAATCCAAGTGAAGGCCTTGCCCAAGTTACCTTTCAAAGGAGGTACAGTCTGAAGGCAGGAGGCCATTGGCTGCTGCCTTGCAGAGGTTTCTGGAGTGGTGGCTCTAAGGTGGGGAAGAGCCTGCTTTCACCCAGGTTGGTGGGTGAGTAGTGGCCCCGTTTCCCAGCTCCTCCCAGGACCTGTCACCAGGCAGTGGGTCTGCTCCAAGATCAAGCTCCTTGTCCTCTACTCATTGACCTTCTGCCTCCTGCTTGGCTTTGTATGTACTGTGAATCTTATTCCACAGGTAAGGACCAAACCTTCCTGTCAGGGCCAGGTACACAGCAGGTGCTAAATAAATGCTTTCTGAATAGCGTTCTGGCTGTGCCCATACACCTTGCTGCCAGAGCTGCCAGCAGTGAAAACAGTAACAGCAGGAGCACTTTATTGAGCACCTGCTGGGTTCCAGCACAAGGTATCCAGCGCCTCTATGGGGCAGTGATATTCTCATTTTCTAGAGAAGGAATTGAAATTCCTTCCCTGCCACCCTGCCACCAGCCCTGCCACCCGGCCAAGCTTGGACCCTACACGCTGTCCTGCTTTCCCAAACCCTGGGCCCTCATGCACCTGTAACATCTCTTGCCTTGGGACCCAGTGGGAATAGGTTTTCCTGAAACCTTTAGTGTGTCCCACCAAAGGAACTGGCCTGGGGCCCCTGGCTCAGCTGGGCTCTCTCTTCACTGTCTGGGCATCCAGGTTGCCTGCAGGCACCCAGCTCACACAGAGCTTTCTTCCCCCATCCTGGCTTTAGGCTGGATCTGCAGAGGTGGGGTGAACTGGCAGGGAGGGGAGGCTTGTCACCATATATCCCTGTCAGATTAAAAAACTAATTTGAAAAGATTAATGTATTCCATTCTTGTTACGCTGGCTCTGATACCTCTGGGCCTGCGGCCGCTCTGCCTCCTGATTATTGAATTTTTATGGCCTGGTAATTAATTGCAGATTCCCTGTTTTGTTCTATTTCTTTTTCTCTGACATTTTAATTTCAACAAAAAGCAGTGGTCTCCATGCAGGTTCTCTCTGGAGATCCTAATGGTCTATAAAACAGAATGACTTATAGACGTGGCACCCACTTCAGTTGGCGAGCGATTGTTTGAAACCTTGCTGATCATGCAAAATTTAATTTTTCCACCTCCCCCTTTTGCTACTCATTTCTTGTCCCTTTCTTTGCGGCATCGGCATCTCAGCTCGCAATGAGGGAGCAGAGTGTCACCTCCAAATGTGTGGCAGAACCTTTTCCTAGAAGACTGGGGGCTGAAGACAGAGAAGGGTTTGATGCTTCTCCTTGGCAGTGGTCTTGATCGTGGGGAGGGCACTGGGATTTCCCGAAGGGCTACATTGGTATGGGCAGCTGCCCCAGGGAGGACAGGATCACGCCCACTGTGTCAGGCTTTTGTGTAAATGCCTCTACTGGTAGGTCCCAAGGAAACAGCAGGCTCCCTAGGGCAAAGAAAGTGGGTGTTGGGGACTGGGATTGTGGCTCAAGTGGCAGAATGCTTGCTTAGCAAGCACGAGGCCCTAAATTTTAATCCCCAGTATCACAGAAAGAGGAGGAGGAGGAGGAGGGTTGGGGAGGAAAAGGAGGAGAGGAAGAAGAAGAAAAATAAGTGTTGGTATTTACCTGTAGGCCCACACCAGGCAGCAACGGGGCCAATTCAGGTCGGGTAGACTGAGGCAGAGGGACTCAGACTTCTAGACATTTTTATCCAATCTGAGTCTTTGGGAACAGCTGTTCACAAAGACAGGTCTGGAAGAGACCCTGGAGTATCTCGCCTAATGCCCTCAACTCCTGCTTCTCCCAGTTCTGCTTCCATCACACAGTCTGGGCCCTCCTCTCTGGGCCTCCCAGGACTGGACAGGACCAGGGCAGAATGGTAAGGTCGCAGAATGAAGTTGGGCCAAGGGATTGGACGTAACTGTTTCCAGGGGCCAGGCAGGTGGGGCAACCAAGGGGAGGGTGATAGGGGATGATAGGGGACGTGTGGGCTGTGGCACCTGAGAGCTCACGTTCCACCGGAAGATGCTGCAGCCACTCAGCTCTCGCTGTCAGGTGGGAAAATGGGCCCAGTGTGGCCAGAGCTTCTGGTTCCTTAAGAAAGGTTGGAAATTTGGCCTTTGGTGTGAGGACCGAGGACACAGAGCATGATGCAGGGACTTCTGGGGTGCCTCAGACTGGCTGGGGAGGGGCTGAGGGGCACATAGCCTGCTTCCACAGCTGCTGTACTGAGATGCTGGGGAGCTGACACCGGCAGTGTCATCTGGTACCTCAGTTTCCTTAGTTAAGAGACAAATGGGAGAGTGACAGCATGGCTCTGGAATCAGATGGACATGGGTTCCTTCTGGGCGAGTGCAGTTTCTCAGCTGGATAAAATGGATTGTTTTGAAAAAGATATGGACAGGCTAGAATAATGATATTTAGGATAGAATGAAAATTGTAAAATGAAAAAGTAAACCAGGAGGTGGTGGAAACTTTAAGAGGTGGGGCCTAGTGGGAGGTAGTTAGGTCATGGGAGGTGTGTCCTTGAAGGGGACATCCAACCTTCCCCTCCTCCACCTCTCTTTGCTTTCTGGACCCCAGAGTCTTCCTTCTGGAAGACTCCTGCCACCAGGCTCAAAGCAACCAACCAAGTGACAGTGGATCTGTGGAACCATGGGCAAAAATAAACCTTTCCTCTATTTTCTTTTCTATTTCTTCCTACGGCGTCTGGGCTGGTCTCAGACTTGGAATGCCTACTGCCTCAGCCTTCTGAGTGCTAGGATTACAGGTCTATACCACCATGCCCGGCACTCCTTGATTTCTCAGGGATTTTGTCAGTGATGGAAATCTGACGGACACAGAGATGGTACCCCTGTGTTGTCTCATAGCGTGTAGGTCAGAGGTCAGGTGAGGCTGGCTTTTCGGGGCTCAGGTCAGAGGCTGCAGTTCTTAGCTGGGGGTTGGGGGTCTCTTCCAAGCTCATTGCAATTCAGCCATTTCTCAGGAAAACCCTCCATCTTCAAGATTAGAGAAGGTGCCTTGAATCTTGTCTGCTCCAAACTGCTCTTTGTTCCTCTTCTGCTTTTAAGGGCTCAAGTGATCACTGTGGCCCCGACCCCCTGCCCCCCAGGCAGGATAATCTCTCTGTTGGGGTGAGCTGGCAGTCACCTTAGTTACAGCTGCAAGTCTTCTGCCATGTAAGCTAAGATCTGAGGGAGTAATGGTGGTGGTGGAGATCACAGGGCCAAAATTCTGCCTGCTCCAGCCTCTAGCCTCCAGCCTCCCAGAATGGCTATAAGGTTGCAGTGTCCCTGCCTGGTCCCTCTCTCCATCCTCAAGAAGCACAGCTTGGGGGTGTGTGTGTATTTATTTGGCAGTACTGGGATTTGAACTCAGGGCCTTGTGATTGCTATGCAGGTTCTCTACCACTTAAGCCATACCCCGAGACCTTTTAGCTTTAGGTCTTTTTCAAGTAGGGTCTTGATTTTTGTCTAGGGTTGTCCTTGGACCTTGATCCTCCCAATCTTCACCTCCCAAGTAACTGGGATTACAGGTATGCACTGCAAACCTGGGCTTGGATATTTAAATACCCGATTACCTTCTGCAGGGTGGGAAGGGGCCTCACAGCACCCCACTAAAGGAGCAAATGCACACACTGAGATTCCAGAGGTCAGGCAACAGTGGTAGAGCCATCAAATCTTGTCATTTCACTGCTGGGCCCAAGTCCAGAGCCCCTGGAGCCTTCAGGAATTCATTCTGCTCTTAGGGGAGGGAACGCCATGTGCCAGCAATGTCACTGGCTCAGTTCAGGTCCTGGCAGTCCCCAGAGAGTGACATGTATGTTTTGGGGCATTTCCTGTTTCCTCTTTGTTGGTAGGGGATGACCACGTCACAGTCACTCCCGGGTGACTCCCGGGAGTGTGTCCTTGCTTCTGCGGGGCACTTTGGCTGAGTCTCACAAGTCCTCAAGTGGCAAAGACTTCACAGGGCTATTTTGAGAACAGGCAAAGGTCTGCGTGCAGCTGTCTCTGTCCGCAGTGAGCGCAAACGTCCTCCCAGCTCCCCTGCAGACACAGGGCCTGGCTTCTGTCCACCTCAGGCTGCCCTTGCACTAGCAGAGTGAAGGAGACACGCTCTGGGAAGCAAGC